GTCCTTTCAGGACGTAGGCGATCATGGCCCTCTACCTCCCTCTATCCCTTGCAGCTCTCAACAAGTTCCTTCCTTCTACTTTCTCTCCTAGAACAAGTTTTGTCATCCACTTGCTCAAGTCCGCCAGGTATGTCACGCGTTGTTTTCCCTTGTCTCTCCTTCCCTCTATTCGACCAATGAGTAACAGATTCTCCAGGTCTTCCTTCCTCATTATGTTTTCCAAAAACTTCAGTTGCCTCTTCCTGATATTTAGTATAAACCTCCTCCTTGTCTGCAACATCTCTAAGATTTCATCGTTGCTACCAAATCTAGCAATTTAAATTTAATTTTCGCACAGAATGAACAAAACGTCATCCAAAATTACGAAGAAAATCTACAATCTATAAACAAACAAAAAATACGGAAAAATTGTATTTATAGTTGGACTAATATCCTCGTCTTTATTGTTATCATCCTATTGGAATCTATACAAGGAGGATTTCGTATCCTGACATGTTATCAACAAATATTTGAACTGAAATTATCAATGTTCGATCAATATTCACTCCACGAGAGCACCTCTTTGCGACTGCTCGGTCTCACATTGTCTGCTGACCTGAGATGGAACGAATACATTGAGTCAATAGCTTCGTCCACCGCAAGAAAAGTTGTTTCCTTGTGCCGCACCAGGAAATTTTTCTTGCCGGAGTCGATCCTTCAAATCTACAAATCAACCATTCGCCGTTGCATGGAGTATTGCTGCCATATATGGTCTGGTGCCCCTTATGTTTGTCTCAAGGTTCTTGATAAAACCCAAAGACGGATATGCAATGTAATTGGCCCTGATCTGGCATCTCGTCTCCTCTCTCACAGACGTACCATCGCCTCCCCCCACCTCTGTCTTTTTTACAAATACTTTCACGGTAACTGCTTCGATGAGCTGCTTTCGTTGGTTCCCAGATTTAATGAATTTAAGCGTTCTACTAGGCTGGCATCTCGCTCTCACCCTTTCACTGTCAAAACTGGTAAAAGTAGCTGCCTCTTCTACTCCAATAGCTTCATGTCTCGCACCTCTCGCCTATGGAACTCCCTACCCATTTCTTGTTTCCCTGATAGCTATAATCTCCAGCTATTCAAATGTAATATCAATCGACGTCTCCAGATGCATTGATCTATCCTCTATCCTTCTCTTCATCCTTTCCTATATCACCCATCTTTGCTCTCCTTCTAACTCTCTGTAACCCCTTGCGGGCTAGTGGCTTCCCTCCTTGCTTGGGGTGGAATGCTTAAAAAAACAATTAATGAATTAAGTGTATTTCATGCCGAAAATTAGATATTTGTTTATGCCTGGAATGGGGTGTTATTACTATTTCCATTATTTTCATTAGGGGCTAATATGCTCGCTATTACCAAGACGTTTCAACCGCTGTGCCCTCTGGTCTTTTCAGGTGTCTATTTTATCTGGGTAATCTTCAGGGAATTACGAAGTGGACATTTTGTTTACTCTACGAGAATAGATTCTTTTTTATATTTCTGAGACGAAGTATTATGTACATATTTACATTATTCGGACTATACGCTCCGACTTTCTTTCGTGGTTGGAATGTCGAACTGAACCCTTTATTTCGCTCACTGGGTTAGATTTTTCTAGTTCTACGTACCATGTTTTTAATGGATGTCAGTTGTCAGTTATCTCCTGTTAATTACCCTCTCCAAGTTCTCCACTGCCTTAACCGGATATTGAACTCACACTCTTTGGGTCCTGTCTCTGGATCTAACTAACGCTTTTATCCACTGTGCCGTGTGTCCATGGCACGTGGAACTAGAAGAGCCTAACCCAGTGAGCGAAATAAAGAGATCAGTTTGACATTCCAAACACCTGAAGAAGGCTGGAGCATACAACTGGCGAAACGTTGTAATAAATATGGCGACAAAGATGAGGGCAATAGTCCGAATAATGTCAATAGTGTAGATTGTTCTTGTTCCGCTGTCCACGTCTAAGGATATGGCACGTGTTGTGGTTCTTCTTTGTACGGCAAAGTTATTGCTCGCCACTCTTGTTTCCACTGAGTCTCAAGTAATCAGGTTCATGGAAAAAGACAAAGCAGGTCTGAACGGTTAAAGTTATAGTCAGTAAAAATGGAAGAGATACTTTATTTGTTCTTATTTTTCAAATCCTGTATTCTGGTGATAATTTGTCCTTTAACTTGCGCACTGTTCATATCTTAGGAAATAGATTTAACTGGGAGAGGCCGAAGTCCTGTTTTCGAATTTATTATTCTAAGACAAAATTATGTTCATCTGAAAATTAAATTTCTATTTTCAAATTGAAAAACGCAAAGGTTATGTACGATACGATTTTTAAATGTTATCATGCAAACGTCAAAGGAAGTAACTAAATTAATGCAATGTCTAAATATTTTTTAAAACTACTAGTTAAAAACTAGATATATTAAACTATCTACTGTAAACATTTTAAAACATTTTTTCAGTATTCATAATTAATTTTTATTAAGGGTTGGTTTCAATGTTTTAATATTGATAGCTTCAAGAATTTTTTAGTTTCTGGCTTTTTATTTTCATGATGAACACAAAAAATAGAAAAACATGTCGAAAGAA